GCTCTATACCGAGTCTCCGAGAGTTTCATGTAAACTCGCCTTGCAATAACCAAATGTCGCCTAGTGATTCAATCACGATTGGTATTCGCTTATTATTCAATAGGTATCACCCGTTTTTCTCTAACACGTCAGGATTTTCCACAATTCTCCTAGAGAGTTTTCCGGAAAACCAAAATTGTCTGTTTATACTCTAGTAACATTTTGAATTCATGCAATATCTCAGAGGGGTGACCTATCAGGCGTTGTAGTACGGTTCAAGTATAGTTAAGCCACACAATTCGTTTTAGAAAAAATTGACTCATTTGAAAAAAAAAAATGATTTGGTTATTATTGGTCTGATGTCCACATTTTGAAGTAAAATTGGTATCCATTCAAACGCTCTGAAAATGAGTATTTGGGAGTTTTTGGCATGAAAAGACCGAATATGATGCTTTTTCTGCTATAAAATTAGATTTGAATACACTTACCATACGTTGACATTTTTGGTTATTTTTGACCATTTTGGATACTTTTTGTGTGGTAAGTGTATTCAAACCCAATTTTATAGCCAAAACAAGTGCATTTTAATCGAATGATTGCGATATGGTAATGAAGGTTTTTCTTTGTCTTTTTTTTAGTTTTAGTGTATTGGCAAGTATTTCATTCACAGCTGACAATGGCACCAAAACAATTATCGAGAAAACAACAAATCCAATGTGCAAATAGAAAAATCGAATTTTTCATGCATTCACAATATTTTGAATATGTTTTACCATGATTGTATGCTACATTTTTCTTGTTAATACGAAAATATCACAACAATTTATTTAAAAAAAAAAACAAACAAAATAAGTGCGTTAAAAATTTAATTTCATTAAAAAAAATTGTTGCCTTCGTCTGTAGTTTTCATAATGTTGTTGTGTTTCTCTCATACAGCAAAAAAATGATAAACACATCGATACAAATTATGAGATAATAGATGTAGTGATACTTAAATCTTATCAAATCGAAATAAGAACTATATAAGTCACGTTTTCACGACGGTTACACGTCAGATGTCTTTTGAGTTAAAAGTAAAAGGTATTTTTGGAAATAAGGTTATTTTAATAACTGGTGCCAGTTCCGGCATTGGAACTGATGGTGCTGTTCATTTGGCTAAAAAAGGTGCTATGGTTAGCCGCAATCAAGAAAATTTGAATAGTGTTAGCGATAAAATAAAAAGTTTCGGTGCGCCAAACCCATTGATTATTGTCGCTGATGTAACAACTGATGGTGAAAGAATAATTGAAGAGACTGTCACTCATTTTGGAAGATTGGATGTCTTGATTAACAATGCTGGCATTGTGGCGTGTAATTCAATTCAAACAATAAAATTGCATGAATTCGATCGCATCATGAATGTAAATGTTCGTGCTATTCAACTTTCACAATTGGCTGTTCTACATTTGGCAAAAAGTAATGGCAACATTTTAAATGTTTCGAGTGTATGCAGTACAGTTTAGCATACTGCGTATCAAAAGCTGCAATGGATCAAATGACAAAATGTGCTGCATTAGATTTGGCTTCAAAAGGCATACGGGTTAATGCCATCAATCCCGCTCACATTCGTATCCCAATAGTTGAAACCGGATTTGG